GGGTGTAAAAAGTGCTTTGGGTCCTAATGAGTGAGTACATGGGTGGGGTGGGGGTCAAGGATATTCCCACTGAAACCTGACCCTTCATTTTCTTCAGTTATGGGGTGGCTGCCCTCTAGAGCGAAGGTAAAACTACCATCCTCAAAACTGGATCTGTTCCTCCCAGAGCGCCCCAGCACACAGTCAGTTCATACCTGCTCTTTCCCATCGCTCTGGGCTCCCTTACTTCCCACGTTAGCAACTCCCATCCCCGTACACCCTGCTCCTGCCTCTCCCCATCCCTGTGTATCCAGTCCCAGAGAGGGCCCAGTAAAAGCCAGGGCCATGAGCTTGCAGAGAAATTGCCCTGTTGGTCTCATGGGTCAGTGTTTGTGCCAAATGAAAGAGAAGGCTTCCAAAGGCATGCCTTTTTCTTTTCTTTTTTTCTTTTTTGAACTTGGCAATGAATTAATCATTGTTTATCGGGGCAGTGTGATCCTTGATCCCAGCAATGGTGCTAAGACATAAATCAAAGCCCTTTGGGGGTGGGGGTTGTGGAAAGAGCTAGCATAGCTTAAAGGCCTGTTCCTCTAACACAGGAAAAAATCTCCCTGTTTTCAAGTGGCTGGGAGTGGACTCTGGGCTATTTATAATCTGCTGCCGAGCCGAGGCCTTTTGTTTCTGCAGCTGGCCTGGGAGATAATCAGCAGAGTTTTTTTCTCTAGCCAGGTCTGCAAAACAGACCCCTTCCTCTGACAGTTCACCCCACCCCTTTCATCCAGAGCCTCTGAGCCTACCCTCCCTTGCTTGGCTTCAGCTTCCATAAAAGTAAAGGGTGTGCTTACAAGCAAAAAGGCCAGTGTATCTCAGCTCCGAGGGGAATGCAAAGACTTGTGACCTGTTGGCAGACGGATCTGTCTAAAACAGGCCTGTGGAATGTCCACATAATTTGGCACAAAGGGCCCTTAGGAGCTATAGGGAAGGGGCACATGCCACAGGCTCCATTGCTTCTCTCAGAAGTTGCTCTGGGTAGAAGAACAGGGTCCCAGAAAGGGCAAATTCCAAAGCCTCCTCCCATTGGATGTCTTGGCAGGAGAGGAGCAGAGGCAAAGGTTCTCATGTGAGGTTCCAAATACATGAGCCTCAGCCTTGCCTCTACCCCACAAGGTGGTGACCATAGGCAGACTCCTTCACGGCTCTGGACCTACTTCTTTATGTATAAAATAGGGATCTAGACTCATGGTGTCTCCTCACCCTTAAATCTTTTATTTATATGTGTGTATGTGTGGGTGTGAACACACTTGTATGTATGACAATCGAGGGCAGAAGAGGCTGTTAGAGTATCCTGGACCTGGAGTTAGAGGCAGCTGTGAGTCACTTAACATGGGTGCTAAGAATCAAACTCCAGACTTCTGGAAGAGCAGCAAGTGCTCTTAACCACTGAACCATCTCCCCATAGAAACAGAACATATCTTATAGATATATACCCCATAATGGTTAAAGTAGAGTTGGAAAGGGTTGAGGTAGTAAGCCTACCTAATTAGTATCTTCTTGCTTGACCTAATAGGTGACTGATGACCAGGAACCTAGAATTTCTGAGAGCTTAATCCTAGAGAGTCAACAGCCTTGGCCATTATAAGCTTTGAAACTCGTGCATTCTTCATATAACTATTGGGTGAACCTGTACCATAGATCAGACTGGCCTGAGCACTGGACATTAAAAGATGAGTAGAAAGCCAGTTCCTTCCCTCATGGGTCTTACAATCTAACCAGACAGAAAAAAAAAGTTAATGAATGAACAATATGTACAGGTGTATGAATTTTACTGAATTCACTGATGACTTCTTCCCCTACACCCTACTTCCTGCCATTCAAGTCTTTTAGAGAAATTCAGAAGGTAAACATATTTAAAAGTAGGGTCTTTTCAGAGGTATTTAGTTAAGATGAGCTATATTGCAAAGAGAAGATTGGGCCCTGAATCCAATGTGACTTGTGTCCTTATAAATGTAATGGCTAGTGTTAATTGTCAACTTGATAGGCACTAGAATTGCCTGTGAAATGGGCCTCTGGGCTTATCTACGATGCATTGTCAAGTTAAATGAAGCGGGAAGACCTGGTAACTGTGGGTGGCACCATGCCCTATGCTCTTGGGCAGTGCAAGACTGGAGACAGCAAGCTGAACACTCATGGTCTTGCATTCCATTGCTCTCTTTTGACTGAAGAAGTAACACAACCAATTGCTTCAAGCTCCTGCTGCCTTGACTACCCTCTCATGATGGACTGAACCTTAAACTGTGAGCTAAGATACACTCTTTTGCCCCTAAATTGCTTTTGTCAGAGTATTTACCATGGCAACAGAAAAATAAACTAAGACACGAGGGGAGAGGAGACCACAAAGTCAACATGGGCCAGATAGCAAGTGATAACAAAGACATGGCTGCCCGCTAGCAAGTGTCACAGTGTCTTAGGGTTTTATTGCTGTGAACAGAATCCATGACCATGACAACTCTTATAAGGACATTTCATTGGAACTGGCTTACGGGTTCAACTGTTCAGTTTATTATCACCATGGAAGTACACAAACAGACATCTGTGTGCCACATCTGGATTGGCAGGCAGCAGAAGCGAGAGTGACACTGGACTTGAGCATTTGAAACTTCAAAGCTTAAAGTGTGTCACCCCCAGTGACATACTTCCCCCAACAAGACCACACCTCCTAATAGTGCCACTTCCTCTGAGCCTATGGGGGTCATTTTCATTTAAAACACTGCACATGTATTGTCAGCAAACTGGCCAGAATCAAGGAGGAAATTTCCTTTAAACCTGTGGAGGAAGCCTGTCCCTAGTGGTACCTTATAATTTCAGATTATCTCGTCCCCAGGATGACCAGAGGACAAACTGTGGCTGCGGTAGGCCGTTAAGTTATGGTATGTGCTATCTTAGTCCTAAGAAGATGAATAAAACCACAGATTATTCCCATTATTTGCAGCTGTTACAGTCTGTGACATTATCACAGAACTGAATTAACAACTAATAAGCCATTGCTTCTAGGAAAAGCATCTGGTTGGGCTCCCATGAGCCTCTAGTTTCACTGGCCAACCAATACATGAGCTTATTTAATGTGTGTTTATGTTTGAAGAGACCTTATTTTATACATTCTAATGATTCTCAGACATTGAACTCATGTCCAACAGCAGTATAATTCATGGTTGAATAAGTCATACCTAATACCCACATTTTTCCTCCCAGGTGTAAACATAGCCTTCCTGGACATAGAAACATTTCAGCACTGAATGTGGGGGCCATTTGAAGCATGCAATGAAACCCACAACAAAAGGCAAGACAAAGGGAAATAGGACACCAAGTTGACTGTGAAAGGTTGCTGGGTTAAGTGTGACAAAGCGAAACAGGACCAAGAAGGCAGAATGCTACTTGCTGGGTTTAGCCAGGAATACATACATAGGGTGATGTAACTGTTTCTCTGTTCTGGACCAACTCTTAAAGGACCTTAAAAATGCTTGATGTATTGATTCAGAGTGACAAATTTTAAGGAGGAGATAAAGCCATAAATATAGAATTTGCAAATAATGACAATCAAAAGATTCATGCATGCACACACATACACATGTATATACATGCACACACATGTGCACACACACATACACATTCAATCTATAAGAAGGAAAAAAAGAGAGTTTTGGTGAAATATAAGAAAGAACTTGGTCGGGGTGGCAAATGGTGGCATTTCAAACCAAACCCTAAAGGATAGAGATGACCCAGGAGAGGAGAGGCATTTGTACCCACAGAAAGGGCAGCTTATGGGAAGTCTCTGCAGAAGCAAAGAGCTTGGTACCTTTGCGTGCTATGGTGGTTTGAATGAGCTATGTCCCCCATAGGCTCATGTATTTGAACACTTGGTTCCCAACTGGTGCTGCTGTTTGAAGAAGTTGTAGAACATTTAGGGTGTGTGACTTTGCTGGAAGAATTATGTCAAATGGGGTCAGGCTTTGAAAACTCATAGCCTTGGGTTACCAGTTTGCTCTCTTTGCTTCCTCTGTGCGACTGAGATCGCTCAGGTTCCTGTTCTGGCCATGGTGGACTCTGACCTCTCTGAAAATATAAGCTGAAATAAATTCTTCTGTAAGTTTGGTCAGGGCATTTTGTCACAGCAACAAAAATGAACTAATAGTCACTGTGAGGTAGAAGGAGGCAGAGAACAAGCTGTGTGGGGTGAGAGAGATGAGCCGGACGAGAATCTAAGCAGGCAGGGCCTGGAAAGATGCCAGGTTTGGATTCCTTTTAAAGTGCAGCAGGGCAGGATGCTATTGGAGTATTTTTATAGAAAGGTGACATGTCCAAGACAGAGCCCAAGTTCTCTCTAGCAACTCTTAGAATTTGCCAGAATGATTGTTTTCTGTTATGCGAGAAATAAATATGAGATAATGTCAAATCCTTTTTTGGATTTGGAGAAGGCTATAAATAAATGCCAAGTCAGGGCACCGGAGTGGGTAGAGCCTGAGAATATTCCACACATAGTGGTGCTGAATTTTAAAATCAGAACTACTGGGACTATAAAGCCCCAATCCAATGGAGTAAGCCTTCTACAGCAGGAAATGGGAGCGAGCTAGTTTTAGAAACAAGTCCTCTGTGTACCCCCAAACTGCACTTGAGGCCAGCCCTAGAGGACCTGCCGTCTTCTATCAGCTTTCATCTTTAAGAGGTGTGGGCATACTGAGGTACTGCAAGTTGCCAGGAAGGCCTGACCAGAAACTGCTCTTGGGTGTGGCCAAAAGCTGCCCTCCTCTTTACTTGAGCCTGAGCTTGCTGGCTTCCTGGACTTGGGACATCTGTTACAGGCAGGAAGATGTTGGAGCCCCGCCCGAGGCCATGAATCTGACTTTGTGGAGATGCTGAATGTGCTCTAACCAATCATCTAACTTCTTCCTGCCTTATCTCAAAACATCCATCCTACAAGATTTACTACCGGCCCCACGACTGCCACCACACCCTACCAGAGTTACTCTGCAGCTGTGGAGTGGAGGTGCACTGAGCTCCCTGACAGACTGCACAAAATCGGGAAGCACGGTGGCCACCGTTTTCTTTTCCTTCCCCGAGGAGAAAGTCCTTTGTCAATCTGTGACGATCTGACTAAGCATGTTCTTCTTCGTAGTTGGTGAGTAAGAGAGCTCCTCATGCCGCCTCATCACGTTCTCTTCCTCTTTCCCGTGGCTTTATCAGCACTCCCTTCTGTAGGACACGCTGCAGAGTTACTGTAAGTCAAAAGGAAGGATGACAAAGAGGTGGTATTTCTGATCTGGAGTCGGAAGGGCAAGCTTGATTCAAGAGGTAGCCGCCCTGCTATCCAGGAGAACCTGTGCTTGCTCCTCCTTCAGTCGCCCCAGAATCCAGACCTTCTTTCAGTTGGGGGCCTCTGGAGCCGGGGTTCCAGGTTGGAAACTCCCTGAGAGACCTCAAGCGAGCCAGTCCATCTCCTTGGGCCCCCTGTCTGTTGTGTGGACAAACAGGTTCTACAGCCCACTCAGCAGCCAGTTCTACTCCCATGGGGCAGGTGTTTTATTCCTCCCCACACCCCCAGTTCAGACTGCAGAATTAGAGTATCAAATAAGCCTGAGAATCTCCATAGTAGTAAAACAAGTAATGAAAACCATCGGATACAATGAGGCTGCCTGTGTCCCAAAGTCACCTCCTCCTCCTCCAGGGAGGTCTAGAATTGTCCCTTTCTCCCCTTCTTTTGATTCCCCCCAAGGGCCATGTCCACTAACCCACAGAGCTTTGCTTGTCTGGGACTGGGCAGTTACCCACTTATGGCTGAACAGGCCTGGAAGGGGACTCCATTTCCCTTCACACTCCACTCCTCCACAAAGCAGGTCTTCTGGCTAAAGTTACCTAAAGGAGTTCAAGTCTCTTAGACTATGCTGATGTCAGCAGAAATGAATGGCCCTCTCCCCGGAGGGTGCGGGTACTGTCAAGTTCTAGAAATCTGAAATGAAGTAAAGTTCTCACTGGTGCCTCCACAGACAGGTGAAGAGGAGAGAGACTCGAAGGAGTGAAAAGTGGGGACAGACACGTTGATGGGGTAAATATAAGGTGTAAAAGGAGAAGACGGAGGGAAGGCCCGGCTGGCGAAGAACTGTGGTAGTCACACCTCCATCAATAACTTCCCTGTTTTCTTTTTCTTTTTAACAGTTTATAAGCATTTCCTCACACACAGGATCTCATTTGTGGCTCACAAACACCCAGTGAAGGTGGCAAGAAGACAGGCACTCCCCCTGACTGCCTGGGAGACAGATGACTCCAGGATCCCCGTAGATCCAGCAGTTACTGATGGCAGGAGTATGGCTTCAGCCTGTAGGTGTGCTGTCTGAGGGTTAAGCCCCGATGAACACGGTCTCTTAATTTTTCACAACTCTTCAAAACAGACATAATTTTTTCCTTCTAAAAACAATTTTGATAAAATATAGTTGCCATCAGACGTGCCTCTTTAATCACTTTCAGGTATCTGTGGTGTTAAAGCCGCTCTCACTGTTGATGACCACCGCTATAACATTTGCACGGTTCCTTTTGTCCAACCTGGACCGCCATACCCATGCGATAACTCCCATGCCCCTTCTCACCCCTCACAGCCCCCCCATCCTGCTCTCTGTCTCAGTGAGGTTGACTGCTCTAGGGACCTTAGGTAGATGGGGTTACTTAGTAATGTCTGTCATGTGTTTTTTCGTCAGTATGATAACCTATCTCACATTAACAACATGACGGGAAGGGAGGGGGGAATTTCAGACAGTAGCCCTCAGCTCCATTGATTCTAGATTTGGAAAATGACAGAATGCAACAGTGGCATGTGGCAGAAGCAACTCAGCACATGGCAAACAGGAGGACACGGGAGTGGATAGGGATAGAGGTAGAGAGAGAGATTAACCTAGGATGAGATATAGCCCCCAAACTCAGCTCCTTAAGGACCTATTTCTCCCAGTCAGGCACCTCCCAGAACCTTCGAAAACAGTGCCACCAGCTGGCGACTGACTTTCAGCACACTGTCCTTGTTAAGGAACAAACATCCAAACTATAACAAATGGGGGTAAAGGACACTTTGTCCCTCTGTGCCTCTGTAGATAGCCACAGGGGACCTTCATCTTTGGGCTCTTGTAAGAAATGGTGTCATAAACACAAGCGTAAATGCGTCCTTGGTTAAGGGATAACGTTAAGCTTTTGAAGGCTGGAATTGTTCCACGTTTGTCAAATAAGTGAGAGAATCCGTTCTCGTGACTTCAAAGACGACCTCCTAACCACTGAGCCATCCTGCTCCTAAAAAGTCAGGGATCAACCTAATCATAAAAATATTTAGGTTAGGAACTTAGCTCTGCCATTCACTGACTGTCCCAGGCGACAAGTCACTTCACCTCCCCTAGCTGCTGGCTGTGGTTAGGAGTGTGTGGAGCAAAGAGCTTTATCATAATGATTGGCACCCAGCAGGGGGTGGGTCCAGCATGTGTGGGTGTCAAGCTAGCTTCAGTTGTCACTGTACAAGTGGCAGGAAGTGCATAGGAAAGGTAACTCAAGAACCCAGGCTCTCTGAGCCTTGGCTGGAACCGACCAGGTAGACAACTGGACCCCTGGGCATATGGTGTTCTAGCTGATTTGTGAGTTATACCTGCCACCTTTGTTGTCCTGTCTGGGATAGGACATATGTCACACTTCTGTCACAGTCAGGGCTGAGGCTGTCCCAGGCACATAAATGTAAAAAAACAGCAACATTTGAATAAAAAGGTACTTGTTTGGGGACCAGGAGAAGGGGATCTGTCTAGGGCAGCCACTAAACAGGCCTTTCCCTCCTCTTCTGGCTCTCCATTTTCCTCAGTCATAAATTTACTGTTTTACAGATGATTGCCAAGGTCTCTGTGTTCTGGAAACTTCTAGGCTGTGGCCTCCATGTGGGGTAGGGGAAGGGTGGGTGATGCAGCCAGCTTGGGATCAAGTCTGGGACGGTTGACTACGCTTTGGATAACCTTGACCTAGAGGTACTTAGCACACCAGCCTTAGATTTTCTCATTCCTGAAAATGGAAGGCGATAACAGAGCCTGTGTCGGGGGACATGTGAGGATTTGTCAGGGTGATGTGCCTGGCAGAATGAAGTGCTCCGCAGAGGACGGTGTTTGTCAGGACAAGGACTCACCAGGACAGGCTGCCTCTTTTTACATGGTGCCAAGGATCACACCCAGGGTCGTGCACATCTCCAAGAGTGTTCTATGACCAAGCTACAACCAATCCCACATCTGTTTCTTGACTTCTGGATGAAAGGCAAAGACCAGCAGATACTATAGAAGGAGCAAATGTTCTTCTTTTTATTTTCTGCCATCAACAATGACTCTTGGATTTCCACTCTGAGGATGGGATCAATTACAACTTAACTGAAAAGGTTGCATTGAACAAGTAGCATGTGTCTGGCACATAGTAGGTCAACAAAATGATATATGCCTAAGTATGGTTCCAATTTTTAAAATTCTGAAACATACCTTTTATATGTTTGGCCAGAGTGTAAGTTAATGTAATTTTTGTAATGTACAATTTGGCAATTGTTATAAAAACTACAAGTCTGTTGACCCTTAATCCAGGAACTTTGTGTAATTATAGTTTATACTCGGGAAATTTCCTCTATCTACAGTAATCCATTATTTATAGTACCTGTGTCAGACTGACAACAAGTTCTGTGGACTAGAAGACTATATAACTGTGAAAAATAAATCATAAAAGAAATTCTTCATGGTTGGATGTAGAAAGATCTCTGAGAAGTATTGTCCACTGAGAGAACTGAGGAACAGAATACTGTATGCTGCTCTCTGTGGTATAAGGTTCCCAGAGAATGTAGAGGGTGAGAATATGTAAGCAGATTAGCATGTAAATATGACATGTATATATTAAAACTATCTCTGTGAGAGGGTTAGAAAGATAGCTCAGTAAGCTGGTTAGTTTTTGTCATTTTAACACAACTAGAGTCATCTGGGAAGAGGGTGGAACCTCAATTGAGGGATTGCCTTTATCAGATTGGCCTGTGGACAAGTCTATGAGGGTATTCTTGTGAGGGATGATTGATGTGGGAGGGTCCAGCCCACGGTGGGAGGTGCTATCCCTGGGCCCCTCCTCCTGAAGTGTACAAGAAGGCAAACAGATTAAGCCATGACAACAAGCCAGTTAAGTAGCGTTTCCTCTGTAGTTCTCGGCTCTGTTCCCACTTGGGTTCCTGCATCCCCTCAGTGATGGACTGTAATGTGGAAATTTAAGCTGTATCAACCCTTTTCTCCCCACGTTGCTTTTGGCTGGGGTGTTTGATCACAGCCACAGGGAGCAAACTAGGGTACTCTGTCAGTAAAATGCTTCCTGTACAAGCATGAGACCTGAGTCTGACCCCTCAGAACCTACATAAAAGGCTGGATGTGGGCTATCAAGATGGCTCAGCAGGTAAAGGTAACTGCCATCAAGCCAGACCACCTGAGTGTCGTGCCTGGGATCCACATGGTAGAGAAAACTGACTCCTTCAGGTTGTCCTCTGACCTCCTCCAGAGGACACTGTGGCACTCCCCCTAAAACATACTAAATACATAAATTCAATACAAAGACAGAAATACCTAGTGATGTGTTTGAGTCAGGCAGATTCTTGGAGTTCTCTGGTCATGCAGCTTAGCCTACTCAGCAAGTTCCAGTCTGTGAGAGACTCCATAAAAACAAAACAAAAGAAAACAAAACAAAGCAACCAAACCAAAACAGCAACAAAACCATATCAAGTGAATGGCAACTGAAGAACTGGATACTGACCTCTGGCATCTACACCTGTGGCTCCCCATCAAACATATATACACACATTTAAAAAAACCATCTCTGGGGAGGGGATCACACAGAGTGTCTGAAGGTCTGCGAGACTTGAAGGGAGAATTTCACCTGACATTTTTATAATTATAATCTATAATCTTCAGAAGACAGTATTACCTTTTCACAAATTAAAGTAAAATCTTATTAAGGAAAAAAAAGAGTTAGGGATGGAAAGGAGAGATGAAAAGAGAAAGGGAGAGTAGGGTCTTGTCCTGCAGTCATGGGCAATGTATAGGCCATCAGATGCATCTGAAGGAGAGGGGGCTAGGCGAGGTGCAGTGGGAATTTGTCTAGCTTTGTGTTGGGACCTTGTTGATAAGACGTGACTTAGCAGATAGAATCAGACGAGGAGAGGCGGCTGCCCTGCCCGGCCGGCTGTCTTCTGGCAGGGGTGACAGAGAGCTTGGCTCCAGAGTTATCTTCCACACTGCTCTCAATTCCCAGTCCTTCTCTACCGTCTCACCCCCAAATGGAGAATACAGGTTTAGCCTTTGACACTCCCTCTCTTGAGAAAAGAGCACAGAGTAAAAGTGGGGCCTAGAATTATCTGTCTATCTATCTGTCTATCTATCTATCTATCTATCTATCTATCTATCTATCTATCTATCTATCTATCT